AATTTTCTCAATAATTTCAACGTTTTTCCATGTTCATGTTGCATTCAGTCTTCTCCTGATGTTGATGTGCTTGCGGTTGTGGCATTCGCCAGTTGGGAGTGTCCATATAGTTGGGGCTTAGCAATTGCCTAAGCAGCTCGTCTCAGTCGGAGGACGAAGTGGCCGCAAGTCTTAGATATTTTAATGCAAGATCTACGATTACTAACAAATGTTATATGCGATCTTATGCTAAAAAGCCATCTAGTTTATTCTTCCAAATCCTTGGTGACAGACAACACTATCTAAAATGTTGGAGTAAACTATTCCATTCCTATTGTCTAAGTGACGTTTTAGAGTTTAAGTATACCCGATTTTAAAGATATTTTATATTTATTTTATAAACTAGACTATATTTTAATATAAAGTTTCTGTTCATTTTAATTGACTTAACTCTAACATACATGTGAATTTTGAAAAATGTGAGCCAATAATTTTATTATTTACATAAATTTTAAATTAAAAATTCACCGCTTTATTCAAAGGTTGTTTTTAAATTAAGATCTTGGATACAATGAATGATGTTTTCGTATATTTATAGTAAACAAGTTGTGTTAGTTTTTAGGGCAAAATCTTGCCTTGTGTTTAAACCGAATATTTTTTTTAAAATTAAATTTTCTTCGTTTGATTCTGCTCAGAGAAGTAAAAGTAATAAAAATATTCATTTAAGTGTTAATGTTATTTGATCTGTAAAATGATTGTTGTAAAACCTAACCTGAAATGGGAAAATATTTGTATGAAAAAAAGCCACAGTATTTGGTTTTAAAAAATATATTCTCTATTTTCAAAAATTTAATAAAAATCGAAGAAAATATACTCTAACTTCCATCCCCAACTTAATTTTTTAGTAATACTTTTCTTCCTTATCAAGCATTTCTGCAAAAACCAAACACAATAATGTATAGTTAAAGCTACTTATGAGGACCACCGGCAACGTCAACTTAAACTTCCGCGCCTCATTGCCTATAGACTGTAAACAATTTTAAAAATTCTCCGTCCACACGCACGCAATCAGAGCGCCAAAGTGAAAATTCACACAAATTAGTGCAGCAGGAAGAAGAGTGAAGAAACCCAACCCTATACTCGTACGTTGAAGTAGCCAGACAGGCAAGACAAACACCAATTAAATGCACATAATGATAATGTTGTGCCGAAAAGTCATTTGAAGAAACTAAATTACAACTTCCACTTTACATTACACGGCACGGAGTGGAGCGGAACCTTCCGACAGAACGGAACAGCAAAATCCACACAAATTAAAAGTCTGCTGCAGTCGCTAGAAACCCGAGTCGAGGCGTACAAAAAACAGATGGCCACTGCAATGTAATGAAAACAAACAACAATAGCAACAATAGCAGCAACAACTACTACAGTAGTCAACTGAAGTGGCATCCAAAGTGTGCCCAAAAGCTACATAGAACCCGTACCGACCTCAACTGCGGCGACTCTGAAACCATTTTCAAGTTGGTTGACTGCCTGTCTTGTCTCTGCCCGGAGAAGTTCAATGCACAAGTTCATGAACTTGGAACTTGAAAGAGTGTTTGGTTGTGGATGTTGGCCAAGACTGAGACCGTGGCTGCTGACGGAGCAGTTTATAATTAGAAACTGTGAAGCGAATGACGGTAAGACATTTAGAGCAAGACTTTGACTTCCTCAAGTACTTTTCCCCCCCACCCACAAAAAAATAAAAATAGGGAAAAAGAAGAGAAAAGTCAAGTGGATTTTAGCGGCAAAAGTTGGAATGATTCTGAATTCGGTTACGTAAAACGAGGAACAGAACGTGCGTGGGATTTTCTGTTTACCCAAAAGTCGTAGAGCCGCGAGACAAAGACTAGGAGGATGACGACAAGTGCGGGATGTGTTCATGTTCTCGCTGGTTGATATTGACAGAAAACAAAAGCAAACAAATTGTCGGAGTGCAGTCGCGTATGTAAATAATGGCCAGCAACAAATTTAATTCCCCCAAAGCCGACACTTACATGCTCTTAAATATAATGAATTATTTAAAAGGGAAGAGAGAAGTTTTAGAGCCAGAATTATACGCTGTACATATTTTCTAAACTCAAATAAACTTATCTATATATAAAAGCATAAAGTTGTATGAAATTACAACAAAATGAAGAGGCTTAGCCATCCATTGATACATAAGTAAAAACCCGAAATGAAAAATATAAAATATTTACAAATACATATGTAAATGCAAATACATTTTTATGGTGCCATTCAAAAGTACATTAGATTCCAATTAATGAAGCAGTTATCGTTGCTTTATCTATAATATTGTTTCATTAAACAATTTAATTAATTTTATGAAGCAAGATTATTGATAAAATGTCGCATTTATAAACTTTAAATCCAATTGAATCCTCACAAAGAATCTCGTTTTCTTCCCATCCACATTAAACCGAAACCATGTTTTCTTACAGCAACTAAATTTGTATATATATTTATACATCGATTATAAATTATTTTAATAAAAGTGTTGCATTTTGAAAATGCTTTCAATTCGCCAAAAATTCCTATAAGCTATATAATCTAAGTATCTGCTGGATGACTATATATCTATGTGCTTCTTGAAGATACATACATACAAGTATGTATATTTATTTTAGAAATAATTTTCGAGTCCCAGCTGCTTTACAAAACGTAAATACTCTCCTTCATTTGAAGTATTGGAAGCATACAAGAATAACAAACAAATACTTATAAAATTCCATGCGACTTATCAGCGCAGAAATTAAAATCGTTTAAACGTCCAGACAAAAGAGAGCGGCCATATGTGTAAATATTCGTAGCATTTCCATGCGCCTTTGTTATTGTTTTCCGCAGCTTAAGCAATGTATAATATTTAACAACATTTAAGCCGAAGCACACACAAAAGAGAGCGTTCCGATTTTTACATATGACTGTGAATCGTTTTTGGAACATTTCATTCGTTCCATGCATGGAGAGGAGAGATGAAGCTCTCCTCTCCTCTGCTTACCTCACCTTACCACACCTTGTGTCGCCTCGTGGTTAATCTTTTAAGTGTGTGTTTATATTTCGATTTAAAATTCTGTGCACGCGCCGTGCATTATACTCCTATATTCTCCGTCTATATAGAGGTATGCACATGTATATACTCTTACATACTCGTATGTGTGTGTGTGTGTGTGTGCATGATGCTCAACGGCATGTTTGTTGTCGGCATTTGTTTGCTTTTTAATATGCAAATAAATATACAATACACAATAGCCACATAGCCGTACAATAGCAATAGCAATGCTTTTTAAATAAATACAAATGTTGGCAGTTCGCATCGTGGTTCAGCTCCACCCACGACAAACATTTATGTATGTATGTCGGTGGCGACGGCGATGTGGATGTGGATGTCGATTCCGATGCGTACGTGCTGTTGTCCTTACTTTGGCGGATATTTGCAATGGGCTCTAGTTTTTGTTGCTGTCAGTTATTGCTTGTTGCCGATGGTTGTTTGCAGTTGCAGCTGCAGTTGTTGCTGTTGTTGTTGTTGTTGTTATTGCTGCTGTTTACTCATTGATAAGCACCGCACTGGAAACTGCAAGCGGCAACTGCAACAGCAATGAAATAAATTGCAGGAAGTGCAGTATAAAATGTTTATTTGCCATAAATTGCATAGTTGCTTAACATTAAAATGAGGTTATAAAACGCCAAAGAGGAAATCAAGGCACCGATAGCCACAATGGGTGGTACGAATTCGCAAAACTATGCGCAGATGAGGAAGCCTTTAAAAAATCGTTAGTTGAGGTCACCAACACATCTGTTCTTCTAACATGTTTCATATCTGAATCTGTCTTTTGTATAACAAAATTGAACTATACAAATAAATAAGTCTAAAGCTAAGAAAACTACTACTACTTGTACTATAAGAAGTCAACAGCAACAATTAAATTCCTTCCATGCCAGTGATTCTGATATAGTCAGTCAAAATAGCCAACCAAATATATATTAAGTGCATCAGCTTTTAATCTAACTAAAACCATGCATCATAATCAGGTAATAGTACTAGCATTTAATTTAACTGCTTTTTTTTACCAACAAAAAAATACTTCAAACAAAGATCAGATTCTCAGAATAAGCTTCGGAATGTTATTATTGAGAGAGGAGGAGAATAAAAAAAAGTTCCGTGAGCAGCAATTTAAAAAAATTGTAATGTTATGGGTTTCAGTTGTTATAAAAATTTATTCATTGCTCGGGTTCAATTGCTTGAAATACGGATTGTAACTCAAATATATAATATATATATAATATAATATATAATGGATATTTGGTTTAGCTGTAGCATAATGTAGAGTCTACATTTAAGTTCTTCTTCAGTTAAAGTTGTATTTATTGTTGGCTAGTCGTGGATTGTTGCATTGGATTGGGTTGCATTTCCATTGACAGTCGTATACTATATTTGTGATTTTTTTTTATTTCGGCCACCTTTGATTTAATAAAATATATTGGCTCCCCTCCTCCAGAAATCCAATTAAGCACAATGCTTGAGTCCAACCAAATATAGGTCGAAGATACGCCGAGCCTCAGCTCATTCTTTAGATATTGAGCTAGAGGCTGCCAATGCTGCGGTAAGTTTAAGCTTTAGTAAGGTGCCTCAACTACTCTCTCTTTGATTGGGTTTACTTTATTTGTCAAAAACAATTGTAAATATTTTGGAATAAAATGTAACTATGAATTTTTCAAAAAAACGTAACACTGAAATTGAGCCAAAATCCATTTCCAACTGGGAGAAAGTGAAGCTTCTTGTATGGAAGAACTGGATCCTGGATTGGAGCCAAAGAAAATCACTATACATGCTTTTTGCTTTTTCATTATTGTTTTTAATGTATACAGCCTTTTTCCGATTTGTGTTGAAGGCAGAAAACTTACCTGAGCGACGTTACCCTCCCGTTCCCATTGACAATCTTCAACTTTACTTGAAATCGGTAATGGATGGAAATCTTATAATGCATGAGAATGGTACGATAAATAAGCCTATCTATGTGCTTTGCTATACGCCCAATACTAGCATAATTAAGGATATCGTTTCAATGGCAGCCACTCAACTGTCCCTTGCGGGTGTGCGTGCCTACAACAGTCCAGAAGATATGGAATACGATCTATTGGAGCACAACTACATAGCTGGCGTAGAATTTGATTCGAATGACATGGATACGAGCAGAAGCGGGAAATATCCAACGATATTGAGATACGCATTGCGATTTCCCAGCGAGCTCCGAACTGCACAGGGCCCGGTAGTTATGAATTGGCAGACGGACAGGCTCTTTCCAGAAAGCGACCCAGTCGGACCGCGTAACGACGACTTCGATGATGGGGGAGTGCCCGTTGGCTATATAGCAGAGGGATTTCTACCAATCCAGCATGCGCTCACCATGTCCTGGCTTAAATTAGCCGCAGGTTCAAAGTTTGAATCTTTACCTAATGTGCAGCTTAGACGTTTCCCATACAACCCATACTTTTCCGATGATTTTAGTCAAGTGGCCACTTTGATTGTGCCTTTGTCACTATATGGTTGTTTCACTTATTTCTTTATAAATTTAGCAACTAAGTTGAGCGCAGAGAAAGAAGCCCAGCTTAAGGAAATCATGAAAATTCTAGGTCTTCAAAATTGGATCCATTGGGTTTCCTGGTTTATAATTACCTACATGTGGGTAATGTTAGTCACACTATTAGCTATATGTGTTCTGTTTGTTACTTATTCCAATATTGCTGTTCTTCGTTATAGCAGTATTCTTCCAGTTTTTGTCTTTTTAAATTTTTATTTGGTGGCCAGTTTCTGTTTTACCTGTATGGTAGCTGTGTTTTTTAATAGGGCCACCACTGCAACTGCCGTCATAGGAATCGTAACCATCCTAACATTCGTACCTTCTTTCGCCGTTTTTCATTTGTATGAAAAGATAGATCTTGTGAGCAAGCTTGCCTTGTGTCTTATATTTCCTAATACGGCAATAGGAATCGGGATTTATGCAATTTTTGCATTGGAAAATTCTGGCGAGGGTCTTCAGTGGTCCAATTTTTTCCGCTCTATCTCGATAGACGATTCTCTATCAATTTTTCTTGTTTGTCTTATGTTAGCAATAGGATCCGTAATATTCATGTTAGTCTGTCTATATGTGGAGCAGATATACCCAGGTAACTACGGTGTACCTCGAAAATGGAACTATCTATTCCAACGCAAAATCTGGCAGTCACTTTTGGGCTTGGCTGTAACCTCTCCTGGTGAAAGCGGATCAAGCAGCGATATATCTGGCGAAATAAAACGCTGCACCTGTCGACCCAAGTCTTTAATTACAGACGATGCTGCTCAGCATGGTATACAGATCCAAAATCTCAGAAAGCGCTATGGCGATGCAGTTGCTGTAAAAGACCTTTCCTTGAATATGTCTCGAAATGAAATTACTGTCTTGCTGGGCCACAACGGTGCTGGAAAGACAACAACCATACAGATGCTTACCGGCACTGTCGCGCCAACGTCAGGAACAGCCATTATCAATGGATGCGACATCCGAACCCAGCTTAGATGTGTCCGGAGCTCGCTTGGGATTTGCCCGCAGCAAAATGTTCTCTTTAACGAAATGAGCGTTCACAATCATCTCGTTTTCTTCAGCAGAGTAAAGGGCTTGAAAGGATATGAGCTAAATAATGAAGTGGACAAATATTTGAAAATAATGGGACTAGAAGAAAAGAAAAATGTTGCCATTTCCATGTTATCAGGAGGCATGAAGCGCAAAGTTTCCGTCTGCTGTTCTCTTTGCGGAAACACAAAAACGGTGCTTTGTGACGAGCCTAGCTCGGGTCTGGACGTATCTGCTCGTCGCCATCTATGGGATCTCCTGAGATCTCAAAAACCCGGCCGCACTATTTTATTAACCACACACTACATGGATGAAGCAGACGCGCTAGCGGACCACATCGCCATTATGAGCAATGGCCAGCTACAGTGCCACGGCACGTCTTTTAGTCTTAAAAGGCAATACGGCTTCGGCTACCGATTAGTCTGCATAAAGCAACCGGATTGCGATGTTGAACAGGTAACAGCATTCCTGGCCAAGCATATACCTGACATAAGACCGGAAAGTGAACTGGGAAGGGAGCTGATATACCGTCTTCCTGTTCAACATACTTCAGTGTTCGCAGATATCCTTAGTGATCTGGAGAAAAAATCAAATAAGTTGCATTTGGATGGCTATGGTGTAAGTGTGGCCACATTGGAGGATGTTTTACAGCAGGTTGGGGGGGACAACAAAAGAGAAGTCGGTGGCCACGGCATCAAAACGAATCATAACCGCTTACCATCTGGCGCGGAGGAAGTCTCGGTCTTCGACACCGATGTGTATGAGTCGAGCTCGCGTACCCGCTGCCTTATGCGTTGGAGAGCGATGTTTATGAAGAAGGCTTTGACAACCCAGCGTAGTTACTGGCTACTGATTCTTCAGCTGGTACTACCAATTATTTATATGGGGTCAATTGTAGCATTTGTTTCAAAATCTGAAGCAAGTACGCTTCCCCCCATGCATGTTTCTTTGAAGAATTATCCGAGTGCCTACGTGGTTCTGGAAGATAAGTCAGGAGAGACAACGAAGCCGATCTCAGTAGCTTATGCTAACTATATTGGTTATCAAGGTGGAGGGGTTAAGTTGCTGAGCACCAGTGGCGCAGACTTCGAGGAGTATATTCTGGATGTGTCGAAGGAGAAACTCTTCCTTGTTGATAAAGAGTACGTGGCCGGTGCGACCATTTCGGAAAGTAACCTAACCGTCTGGTTGAACAACAAGCCATTTCATACGGCCCCCTTAACGCTTAACATACTACACAATGCTCTGGCCCGTCACCTGTTGGATTCGAAGGCTGAAATAGATGTAACTCATGCTCCTCTGCCATATAGTAAGCACACACTTGCTAAGCGATTAGAGTCGCCCAATAAGATAGGGCAAGCACTGTGCATGAATTTTTCTTTTTGCATGTCCTTCGCCACTGCGTTTTTTGTAATTCCGGTGATAGCGGAGCGCAACACAAGATCAAAGCTTTTGCAATATATGTCCGGAGTAGGTGTTGTTTTATACTGGATCTCGCACCTATTGTGGGACTATGCAATATTAGTACTGACCGCGATACTAGGAATAATAACTGTTGCTCTTTTCCAGTTGCCGGGATATTCTACCCTTGGGGATATAAGCCGGAACCTAACTGTGTTTCTATTTTTTGGAATTTCAGCACTACCCTTCATATATTTAATATCCAATTGGTTTGTCGACCCGGCTTCGGGATATTCGTACAGCTCATCTGTGTGCATGATGTTGGGCCCACTTCTATATATGATAATTCAACTTTTTTTCGGTGACCCAAACATAATTCAAAAAGCGATTCTAGCTACTGCTCGTTTATTTCCCCACTATTGCCTGGCTGAAGCCCTGTCTTATCTCTACATTAATTTTAATTTACACAAGAGTTGTAGCAACCCGATGCTGACGAGGTTAACGCATGAAGATCTTTGCAAATTCGTACCCGCTTGCTGTAATGTTCCAGGATACTTTGCATGGAGGAAACATGGCATTATGGTGAATATACTGTTCTTTCTTGGGTCAGGCACGTTATATCTGCTATATATTATGCTCTTGGATGCGAAAAAGTGTGAGTGTCTGCCTGATTTGTTAAAGGGGACTAAAAGGCAGGAGGCTGGTCAAAATTCGGATCCCGATGATGTTGACATCGAACGATCAACCGTTGCTAATCTCACAGAAGCGGAACGGAACGATCTTCCTCTTGTCGTTGATCGCATAAAAAAGAAGTTTGGAAAATTCGTTGCGGTCAAAGAACTATCATTCTACGTTGCACCAGGGGAGTGCTTTGGCCTGTTGGGTGTAAACGGCGCGGGCAAGACGACCACTTTCAAGATGCTTACTGGAGATATACGAATCGGATCGGGAACTGCATATGTCGAAGGCATCAACCTGCAGAAGCACATGAGCAAAGTGTACGACAGAATTGGCTATTGCCCGCAGTTCGATGCGGTAATTGGGGAGTTAACAGGACGGGAGACAATGCGGTTTTACTGCATGCTGCGCGGGGTGCAGCGGAAATACATAAAGACGGTCTGTGAAGATTTGGCCATCAGATTGCTCTTTATTCAGCACATTCAAAAGCCGATCAAACACTATAGTGGAGGAAGCAAGCGCAAGCTCAGCCTCGCTATATCTCTGATAAATAACCCGTCCGTCCTATATCTAGATGAGCCATCGGCCGGTATGGATCCAGGTGCACGTCGACAAATGTGGAATCTATTGACGGAGTTTCGAGAGCATGGCAAGGCTGTTGTTCTGACCTCCCACTGCATGGAGGAGGTTGAGGCCTTGTGCATGCGAGTTGCTATTATGGTGGATGGAGAATTCAAGTGCATAGGCACTACACAGACCTTAAAGAATAAGTACTCCAAGGGTTTCGTACTTAAAATTCGGGTGAAAGAGGGCGGAAGGTCAACATCGAGCGTGAACCAAGGCCTATCAACCGACAGTGATGTTTTTGATTGCGATAATTGCACGGGACAAACTGATTTGGTCAAAAAATTTATAGCTCACAAATTACCCGAATCAGTTTTAGAGGAAGAATTTCAAGGACAACTCACTTACTTTATTCCAATTGAAAGTTCCACGTGGTCGAAAATATTTAAGATTATCGAAAACAATAGCACAAAATTAAACATAGAAGACTACGCAATCACGCAGACGACTTTGGATGAAATATTCTTGGAGCTTGACAAAACCCGTACTAATATTTAACGGCATTTAGAAAACACTTATATATCAATAGATATAATGAATTAATTTATGACCGCACAATAGTAAAATTAAAATAAAATTTCCCAAGGAATATTACCAACCCTCAGTATGTCATTTATTTGTATACCCCATACCAGAAGGTATGCTAGTTTATTGCGAATGTATGAAACACACAATTTGGAAGGCGTGGCATACCTCCCAAAGTATATATATTCTTCATCAGCATGACTAAAATAGTCGACATAGTGATGTCTGTCTGTCCGTCAGTCTGTCCGTATGAACGTAAAGGTCTCAGAAAGTATAAGAGCAGGAATAACCAAACTTGGAATCCAGGCAGGTCAAGTTAATTGTTGCGGGCGGGCGGAGCTTGGGCAGAGATTACATATATGCCTATAACTTCCTGTTGAATCTGCCTTTTATAATGAAACTTGGCATACACACTCGTAATCACTAACTGGAGGTGCTTGCCTTGGGTCAAAAATTCCTACAATTGCGGGAGTTATGAAAAATCACTAATTGCGGGGAAGTTACTAAAATTCAAATTGCGTATTCACATAATATATTGAACTAGAATTTGGTGTCCCTAGGTCTTACAGCTTCCGTGATATGGGTGATTAGGGGGAAAATCAAAAAATACAACAAACTACCAGAGCGTACACACATACGGCATCTTTGTGCAAAATTTAGTTTCTCTAGTTATTATAGTCTCTGAGGTCCAGGAGTTCATACAGACAGACATACAAGTACAGGGCTAGATCGACTCGTCTTGTCATGCTGGTCAAGAATATAAATACTTTGTGGCGTCTGCCACGCCCCCTTCTGCCTGTTACAATTTTCACCTCGCGCAAACGTAATATACTCTTGTGTGTTACCTTTCAAGTATAATAATCAGAGTATAAATATGATTAAATTTACAGAATTATATAAAATCCATATGAGCTTGAAATTGCATGTGAGCTGCAATATTTTCCTTAGTTATTTTTCTGTAATCTAGATCTGCGATCGTTCCTTCTTAAAGATATAAAGTCATGCAAATGAAAGACGTCATATTTCTCAATTCGAGTTCATAGAAAAAGTACTATTGCAATAAAATAAGAGAAATAAACATTATTTTCTTAAAATGTATCAGTATCTTTTATAATTCAAAATGCCGCTTCGGTCCTTCAACAATTGTTTGCCAGATGGCTTGGCTCTTAAGCGCACTGAGACATCAACAGCAATAATGCGCTCTAATATTTATATCCTGTCCGGCTCAAGCTATTACACATGCGCCATAAATCCTTAACATACTCGTACATCTGCATAATGCATTTACGCAGCTAAATGCTGCGCAGCAGCAGCCATAACAAACAAGGCCAGAGCCAAGACCAAGTACAAGTCCAATGCCATTTATCACATTTATCGCCGCGCAATGCAAAAAAGAAAATTCTATTACAATCTAACAGACACAGAAACCGAAACAGAGACGAACGGAGTGGAGAAGTCTCGAAAGCTGAGGCTAAGTACATGACCTGCAGAATGCAGACCATTAAAAATTACAATGGAGAGCAGAGGAAAAGAATCTAGCATATCATGTGAGACTTGCGACATATGCGATAAATTTCTTACACACTGCCACACACACACACACATGCACACACATCCGTAAAGCTTGTAAGGAAACTGCAGGAAAAAAGTACTACATCATTTTCCATTGTGTGTCGCCGAGCTGCGAAAAAAATTATGCACATGCTCGAGATTTTCTCAATACAGACAGACATACGAGTACATGTATGTATGTATGTATGTACGAGTATCTGTGTCTGTATCTGTATCTGTACATATATAGGTACTTTGTACAATTTCTCTTGCATTTTGTTACAATTTATCAATGTCCAAAAATGGGCATGCAACAGAAACATGCAACTGGCAACTGGCGCTTAGTAACCTGAAAATCTTGCAACTGCCAGTGTCGATGGCGATGGCGATGGCGGTGGCAGTGGAAGTGGCAGTTATGGCAACAATTTCCGTGCCGCAGACAAATGCACGCCAATTCTGCCTTGCTCTTAAGCCGACGCCATAAGGATCAATAAGGATAATATTAATATATGTCGCAGGCCACAGAAACTGTGAGGTAAACGAGGGCTTTGGCTTTGGCCACGGCTTTGCAGCCCTTGCCAAATGTAATTATCGTTTATGCCTCACCGTGGCACGTTTCATATTGGAGTTGGGCTTAATTTGTCATGGTTTTCAGTTGCATATTGTGTGGCATGTGAGTATGAGTGTGTGTGTGTGTGTATGCGTGTGTGTGTGTGTGTGTGTGTGGGTGTGTGTTGAGTGTTATCGTTGTTATTGTATTTGATATGTGCGATAAGCACATGTTATGGTTTTTCACACTTGTAACACCCAGGCATGGGACATGGGGCATGGGTTTGGCTAGCAATGGATTTTTTCTCTGATAATGATAGTGGGGGACATACCAGGGCTGCAAAATCAGAATTTGATTGAACTGGAACAGATTTACTGTGATGGGTTAAATGAGCTAGGAATAGTAAGTCCCTAAATACTGATTACATATTGTATGTCTTCTAACTGTCATCTTCTTACCATTTAATCCAATCAAGATGGGAAAGGTGGAAGAATTAACCTATGGCAGTAACTAGGAAGATCTGACAGATGACATTATAATTTATATTATACTATAATATCTTTGGTATTTATGGCGGGTTTAGAGCAGAGTAATTTTTAATTAAAGTTAAAAAAAAAAGATTAAAATATATATTTTTATTTTCTTCGGTACATATTTATTTGACATCAATATTTTATTTAATTTTGGACTCATTGAAGTCCAATTTAGGGATTATACGAGCTAATTATACCCAGTGCTTGTTGTTTCTTCTATTTTAGTTTTTGTATTTTAAATTATTTATTGAAAAAAGTAAAATGTCTTCACATTTCCTTGAAATATTGTCAAAACTGACGTTACAAGAAAGTCTGCATCCCTGGTTACTTACTACATGTTTGCCTGTCGGTTTACATGTTGCATTGTGCTGCTCGTTTGGCGCGATTGGGATTATGATTAATTGATTTTTGTGCGCAGTGCTTTACTATAGTTATCAGTAGTTTTTGGGGTTGTACTAACCTCAAGCTCCTGCAATTTGGACGCTTGGACGCGTGGATGTGGGTGTGGGAGTTCGTAAGGTCAATGGCCCCAAGACAAGTGAAATGCTTGGAAAACTACACAAATCGTTTACGCCAGACAAAACCATAAAAGATTGTTGCATGAAATGTGCCAAAGCACTTGCTGATTGCCATGATGACAAACAGCTGTTGCCTGTTGGTTGTTGCAGTTGTTGCCTTTGTTGTTGCCGTTGTGGCTGTTTTGTGTTGGTATTGCTGCCGGCAGCGCAACAAAACTTCCTGACGTAAATAGCCAACAAATAGCAACAAAATTGACAGCAATAATCAAACATAAGCAACATTTAATTGGCACTTAAAAAGCAAACAAAACATGGAGATGCATGCGGACAGCAGCTACTCAGGCAGGGGTGGACTGGCAGTGGGGGAAGGAGGCGGAGGGGCAAGGGAACTGGAGCATGTACCTACACTTGCCTTCATCGCTGTCACATGTGCAGCCAACAATCATTTAAATAGTTATTGCACTTTTTTTTTGACACACGGCAGTCAGGCAGCGCTACAGAAATGCAATTAGTTTAAAAGCCAAAAGAAAGAACTTGACTGAAAAACCCAAAAAAAAAAAAAACCCAAAAAAAACAGGAAAACTTGTACAGCAGCCTGACAGGCTGACAGGCAGTCAGACAGCACAACAACAAACATGCCAGCACGTTTTGAGTGCTCCGGAGTGCAGTGGAACGCTGAGGTACATGAAAAAATGTCAAAGCAAAAATGAAGCCATTAAATGAACGGCAAAAGTTTCGTCAGCCACTGGCAACACATTTAACACCCGCAGCCGGAGCCGGAGCCGAAGCCGGAGCCGGAGCACCACCGGCAGCCAACTCTTCTCTTTGAGTGGTTCAAACATCAACGTCGCCATAGACGGTATATACGACATATAGTCGTCGACGTCATCCTCGCCATTGTAGTAGTCGTAGTCGTAGTCGTAAACGTCAACATCTTTCACGTGTGTGTGCCCAGCATCCTCGGGATGAATGCTGGGCCCTGACGTTGACACTACACGCGAAGCAAAGGCGAAAAAAATTTATCGTGGCATAGAGCCAGGCGCTTGGAGTGAGTCGAATTTTTAGTGTGCTACACATTGTGTGGTCAGGCGAAGGTATACGGGCAAATATTTTAAGCTGGAATGGGTGTAAGTAGCCAAAGAAATTTCAATGATCACTTGGTATGCAGCTACTTAAATGCCAAAATGTGTAAACTGAAGGTTCAAGAAAGAAGTTGCATAAAAGAGCTGCTTCATGATACAAGGACCTATTTACTTTACTGAAGAGGACAAACTTTACGACCAATAAATGACTAAGACAGTACAAATATTTCATCAACAACGAACCTTCATTTTGGTTGAAGACCCACATCTTAACCTGTTTACAAGTAGCATTAATAAACAACAGAACCAACGCAATAATATAATTTAAAGACTTTAAGGCCCGGCCAAATATTATAAATATATGTAATCTTCTGGCGAATGGATACAACTTATTTTATATTTTACTTTCTTAGCAGCGCAAGCGACGAAGCTGAAGGAAGAATATTCAGGAAAGCCTAATAAAGAATATTAAATTTGGTAACATTTTATATTTTAAAACTACTTATCAGCTTTTATAAAATGGTTTTTGTACTTCATTGTCACTTAATAATTATCATTTCCAAATTTTCAAATTATGTTTTTTTTTACAGTCTAACTTCTTCGCATATTTATATCCCAAGAAAGCTATTCCGATTTATTTATGTGAATGCGTAATAGTTTCCATACCCCATAGGCCGTCTGCTACACGAATACTTATGTCACGTAATATTTCCAAACTTTTATGCTAAGGCTTCTGGCAATCAAAAAAGGCTTATCCAATGTATAAGTGTGCAGGTATTCGGGTACGTCTGACCCACACTCTTTGTCGTGCTCTAAGA